ACCCCCTCTGTTTCTGGAACACATTAAATTCTTTCCTGCTTTGATATCTTTGTACATGCATTTCTCTCAGTTTTTAACATGGTTCTTCCTAATTCTCTCCTTCTTTTCTTAAATCTTAAAGATTACGTCCTCAGAAATGGTTTCCCAACCTACTCTAAATGGGACCTTCCATGATGCTCATTATTATAGCATCCAATTTCTTTTCTTCACAGTACTTAGAAGGCAAGTGCAGGTCTCTCTCCATTAGAATGAGTCCTTTGAGAGAAGGGATCTTGTCCCCTAGGTCCATAGCTATGGATCTAAACATACTTGGCATATACAAAGTGCTGAAATATATTGGGAGAAGGTCAAACTTAGATGCTAGTAGGTGACCAACAAATACTATTAAGTTAACCAACGAACTTGTCTGCATTGTGGGATAAATTACCATATCAATTAAAAATTAAAAAACACATAGCAAAATTGGTGATTCTGATTTTATAAAAGTTGATTATAGCAGTAATTAAGGAATGAATCCACTTGTCTTAGTAATAAAACCACAGTGATGAAAAAAATTACCACAATTTAAGTTTAAAACTAACAGAATATAAAATTGTGCTAAATTTTATAAAATAAATACATTTAAAAGACTAGAAGGAAATACATTAAAATGTTAACATTATGTCTGGATGGTTTGATATATTTTCTTTTTTGCATCTTTCTGTATTTTTCAAATTCTCTACAATGAGCATATTATTACTCTTATAATCAAAACAAAATTGAACAAGAACAATTATCATACTAAGCTGGCTCTAAAGCTATCCATAGCCATGAATGAAACATACTGACCAATTTTGCAAATTACTAAATAATAATATCTCATTTTTTAAAATCTTCAAATGACAGTCATTAAAGTCTACTTATTATTATAGTGCATTTTTTGCTAAATCTTTACCACTATCACTCTGCCACTTTTTCCTTTTAATCTTGGAAGTAGTTTAGTATGGTCAAAAACAAAGCAAAACAAACAAAAAAAACCTTCTTTGCACTCCAACTTCTAAATCCCAGCTCTATCATTATCTAGTTATGTATTACTGAGATACTACTTCACTGAGTTCAATTTTTCTCATCTGGTAAATGAGAATAATACCACCAATTAGAACTATTTATAAAGCTCCATGCTTAGTGACTGGCTTTTAGTAGGGTCTAAATAAAGAATAGCTACTATAATCCATCAGAATATTACCTAGTAGATAGATTATAAGCACTCTGAGAGACCATGACCATCTAGCTCCACTATATCCCTCCCTAGTCTAGCACTGAGCCAGTATGTAGGAGTTTTCAACACATACTTGTCAAACCAATTACTATCTTCACTACCTTTTTCAGGTAGAGCTGCATTAGGATTGTAGGGGATTATTACCTCCATCTGCCTAGTTATTTTAATGGAAAATTAGACTAAATCTTAAAAACTAGAGGAAATCAAAGATTAAATCATATACCTCCACATTATCCTATGGTAGTAGAAAATAAATGAGTAAACAAATAAGACAGAATTTTAGATAGGATAAGTAATATTATTAGCCATTTCTTATAATATTTCTTTCCATATTTTTACATAACATCACTACCTACTGACCTCCTGTTATAGTAGATGAAGAACTTTATCAATACCACATTGACGCTATCCTCCCACTAAATGTTATCCCAATTTTTGGTTAAATTGATTGTAGTTTTTGCATTATTATGATTAGGAAAATACTGCTCACTGTAGAGCCAAGAAATGTACTATGATGATGCCTGATTTTAAAAAATTTTTCTTTTCCTACTATGTTCATATCCTTACTCTTTTACATCAGGTATTATTTACTGATTAACACCTTTTTATTCCAATTGCTCAAACATATCTATTTAGTCTACTTTTATCTGGAAACCTCACTTTTGGTGAGGAAGAGAGATCTACTTGCCTGTGTCCTCCTGCTCCAATTTGAACTGGATGCTCATAGCTTTGCTGTGCAGGTATCATCTTGGGATGGCCCTTCACTGCTTTCCTGTGTTAGATTCTCTTTTCCTCAGCTCTCAGCATGTTTTCTTTTTAACTACTTTTACTCCCTTTTGTTAGTGTATATGGTGTACTTTTTAACTACTTTTACTCCCTTTTGTTAGTGTATATGGTGTACTTTTTAACTACTTTTACTCCCTTTTGTTAGTGTATATGGTGTACTAACTTCCTAAAAAAGAGTGCATAAAAGATCTATCATTTTTTTAACCTGTGTGGCAGACACTCTTAATTACACGATCCAACAGCCATTTCCAAACCCCTTCCCCTATGTACTATACAAAGGCTGGAAAAGCTAATCTCTTGCTTTCCCAGACTCTCTTGAAGCCAGGTTTCACAGTTCTAGTCAACGAAATGTAAGTAGGGAGCTTTCTGTGTACGTTTTGCTCTCCTTCCTTTTTTCCTATCTGGAATGAAGACATGATGTTTGAGGTACTTCAGCCAACTTGCCACCGTGAGGCTACAGCGGGTTAAAAATAGAAAAACAAAGACTAAAAAGAACCTGAGGGCCTTCATGACATTTCTTGAGTCACTACATCAGTCCCAGATTATCTACATCTGGATTTCTTGTCCAGTGAGAGAAAAGATTCCCTATTTTTTAAGCCATTCTTCTCTTGGTTTTCTATTACTTGCAAACAAACACATACCCCACCAATAAACCTGTTATATCTGAAAATACTATTTCTTCCTTCTTGGCTAGGAATAGAATTCCAGGTTGATGATAATTTTCCTTCAGAATTTTTAAGACCTTGTTTCCCCTTATCAGCTTCCAGTGTTGCTGAAAATTCCTATCATTCTAAGACCTGTTCCTTTGAATCTAACCTTATTTTACAGTGGCAGCTTCTTAGATATTCTTTTTATGGCTGGTATGTAAAATTCCACAACGAACAATGATGTGCCTTCCGATTGAGAAGGTTTTTTTTTTTTTTCTTCTAAATTCAATGTACTGACTTCCAAAGGGGGCCATTTATAATTTGCAGACCAATACTTTCCAGTTTAGGAAAATTTTCTGTTAATTCTTTGTTTTATAATCTAGTCTCCTCCATTTCCTTGTTCTCCATAGTTGGAGAAACTATTATGAGTTCAACACTGGACGTCCTATATTGATTTTCTAATATCCTTGTTTTCTCCAATTTCCATCTCTGTCTCTTTGTCTATTTTTAGGGAGACAGATGTCTTACAACTCTCCTACTTTTTATTTTAACAAAATTTATTTCCAAAAGTCTCTGATCTTTCATTACATCCTATTATTGTTTTATGGATGCAGTATCCTTTTCTCTACCAAAAGTGATCTTGATCATTATTATTTTCATGTACTTGTGTTCAGTGCATCACTCCAGATTTCTGTTTTCAGGTTTGTTTTGTTTTTGTCTCTCTCTTTCATAGGGAAGGTCCTAATACAGAAGATACTTAACCGACAGTTCATTAAGAGTGAAGAAATAGGGGCTTCCCTGGTGGCGCAGTGGTTGAGAGTCCTCCTGCTGATGCAGGGGACATGGGTTCATGCCCCGGTCCGGGAAGATACCACATGCCGCGGAGCGGCTGGGCCCGTAAGCCATGGCCGCTGAGCCTGTGCGTCCGGAGCCTGTGCTCCGCAACGGGAGAGGCCACAACAGCGAGAGGCCCGCGTACCGCAAAAAAAAAAAAAAAAAGAAGGAAATGCTTCTTGAGCTCATGATGTATGGCAGACACTTGACTCAGCTGATCTTAGTTAGACCTCATAACACCCTAACAGGTGGCTACCAATACTCCAAAAAAAAAAGTGAAGAAGTAAAATTTAATTGAAAACAGTATGTGTACAACTGTAGGCAACACAGTAGGGGGACTGGGCCACGAAAGTAGCCACTGTACTGGCGGCCAACAGGCAAGATTAGACATTTTATGGGCGGGAGGGAGCATATCCCCAAACAATAGTATCTGGAAATCTTTTTTATGAGGCCATATTTTTCTCCAGAGAAAGTGATACTAACCTTTTGTAGGAGACACATGCCTAGCGTCATGAGAGCAGGGAAATGGTTAGAAGTTCCACTGTTCAGTACCTGGACTTAATTCTATTTTCTACCCTGTTCCCTCTGCCTCCACAGAGCCTCTAGTTCCCTCAGAAAATAAAGCTCTAGCCTCTTCCCAGTAGGCAGTATGGGAGAAAGATCCTGAGGGTCAAACTACTTCACATGCACTTTTATACAATGGTGCTATCTTGTTTTTTAAAAAAATTCCTCCTAAATATAAACAACTATTTTAAAATATATATATATATTTATAAATAATAGATAAAAGGAAAAGCAAGCTGATCTAATTTCTCACCCTATTGCTCTAATTAGGCATTTTAAACCATTGGGTCTTAAACAAATACCATTCTTCTGTGTATACCAATCACAAGCAAAGTGACTACTAAGCAGGGTAACTATGAAAATTATCCAAAATAAGACACTTTTGAGAGTGAATGGGGCACTATTAATAATTATACATGAACTGGCATTATCTCAGGCAAACTAGTTACCCTATCACCAGGAGAATAACTTCCTGGATGCAGAGCTTGTAAAACTATACGGCATTACCAATGAATTATGTGAAGTCTTCCCTCAGAACAAAGACATACTCTACTATATGTGCCTAATATACAAGTCACTTTAGTGAGGTGGAAAGAATTAGCAAATACAGGATAATACAGTTTTTAAGTTATTAATTCTTACTATCACCCATTACAAGCACACACATAATTCCTTTAGAAATTCACACACTGTCTTTCTGCTCAAAGGAAATCACAATAATAATTCATATAGTATTTTTAAACAGGTTGAATTAAATAGTTTAGCTGGTAGAGGGTTTTCTTCCTCTTAGAATCACTTCAGTTAAACAAATGGGAAAAGGATAAAGAATGGTTAGAAAGAAAAGAAAATGGGATATAGTCTTCTACCTAAAGTAATTAAGACATGAGAGAAGAATCACTAAACGCCTTTACCCATTCCAGAGTCTTTCTTGGTACCATCTGATATTATGTCTACATGATCAGAATCCACATCATAACTAAAGAAATCATTCAAATAGGTCTTTGATCGCTGGCCACCAAATACATATAAGCAACGATTTTTCTGAAAAAAAGGGCAAAGAAGAAAAAAAAAGTCATTTCCACGAAGAATTCAGAATGATCCTTTTAAAATTTAAAACTCTAAAAAAGTAATTTCACGAGATTCCATGCAATGGAGTACTATACTGGTACAAAGCAGAATGAGGAAGCTCTCTATATACTGCTAAGAGGTAATCTCTAAGATATCCTATTAAAGTAAAAAAAAAGCAAGGTGCAGAATAATGGCTATAGGGTGCTGCCTTTGTGTAAGAAAGGAGAAAAAGTAATGTGTGCTGTGTTGTTTCTTTCTTCAAAAAGAAACAAAAACAAAGGAAACTAATAAAGGACAGCTATAGGGGAAGTGACAAAACAGGAAGACAGGGATAAAAACCATATATCTCCAAAAGGATACTGACGGTTTTGCCTTTAGAACTATGTATATGTTTTTACTTAATTAGAAAACAAAATTAACTTAAAAGAAAAAATAATCTTTGAAAAAAAGTGAAACAAATAAGCCTATATACAAAGCCTGTATACAAAGATATGATCACACAGAGACACGTGATCACACAGAGAAGTAGTATTTCTAGTGATTTTAATTCTTGTTTTTGACTCCCATCCCTAGTAGGCAATATTCTAAACAGAACAATAATCAGAAAGCAATCTTAAACAGCACTCAGTGATTTTGTTGTTAGTTTTGCTATTCTGTAAACTATTATAGAAAGACAGAGCAAGTAACATATCGTCATTAGGAAGTAGGATTTTAACCTTAAAAGATACACAAAAACAAAATCAAAGATATTAAATTTTAAAACTCTATGATCTTAAATTTGACTTGGACATATCAGTATGAACTCATGATTTTTCTCTTACTAAAAAAGACATACATACATATATGCGCGTGTCCATATATGCAAAGGTATACTGGGAGGTGGGCACTCCCACTGGCTGAAGATAGAGAAAAATTAAGGGATCAAAAAGAATAATGGGTCTTCCCTGGTGGCGCAGTGGTTGAGAGTCTGCCTGCCGATGCAGGGGACACGGGTTCATACCCCGGTCTGGGAAGATTCCACATGCCGCGGAGTGGCTGGGCCCGTGAGACATGGCCACTGAGCCTGCGCGTCCAGAGCCTGTTCTCCGCAACGGGAGAGGCCACAACAGCGAGAGGCCCGCAAACCAAAAAAAAAAAAAAAAAAAAAAGAATAACAACAGCATTGGATTAAACACATAAAATAAATTCCCAAGTTCATAATAATACTTAAAAAAAAAATTGGTAAACTCTAGAGCCTCAGCTCATTAACATGAAAAGGTGACAGAGGAAAAGAATCAAACATTTATATTACCTATCCTGTGCAGTTTACATATTAGGGTAGCCAGTTAGTTAACGAGGATAAGCTTTTATAGTACAATCACAGTTAATAAATGAAGAAATTATGTGATTAGAAAAATGACCATTTTTCAAACCCTACTAAAATCTATGACTATAGATTAGTCTATGACTATAGTCACTATAGTCTATGACCATCAGTGGCTGCTAAACCCATCAGATAACAAGTTGACAGGAAACTTTATAATTGATCAATCAGGCTGTTAACACCTAAACCCACCAGAACAATTTTAACATCACCAAAAGTATGACAACTACACATTAAATGTCTCTTTATATCTTGCAATCAGACCAGCTGTGAAGTATTCTTGCAACTCCCCTTTTGGCCCGCCCTAAAAAGCAGAGTGAATCTAAACTAAATTCAAGCCTCTGGATCTAAACACCAGCTCACAGGAAATACCGAAGATAGAGGATCATGTTAAATGACACCATGAGTATAAAATAGGTCAAACTAAGAAAATGGGAAATTCTAGATTTACTTGCTTTAACAAATAAGTGGTATACAGAGGGAAAAAAATAGGAGAGGGGAGTACTGTTATGGATTAGAAGAAATTTAAGAGCTTTAACAACCAAATGCAATATACATAGACCTTTTCTGGATCCTGACTTGGATAAAACAACTATGAAAAGGTATTTTTCAGTATTTTAGGGAAAAAATGAATGCAATATTAAATGATATAAAGAAATCGTTTTTGTCAATACTTTGGTTGGGTTTTATAATGATACTATAATTATGTTTTTAAAAAGTCCTTACCTGTTAGTGATACAATATGGTATTTATGGGTGTAATGATACAATGTCTGGAATTTGCTTCAAAATACCCCAACACAATAAAACTTAAGAATAAACTTAAAAATCAAAGAAACATTAAAAAAATAAGATATAAGTGGGTTAGATATATGAAAGATGAACAGTCGAATAATGCTAACTGTTGAAACTGATAAATAAGTTCATGGGAATTTATTATACTCTTCTACTTTGGTATATGTTAAAAATATTCCACAGTGTATTTTTAAAGTTATGTTCACAGCAAGAAGCCCAAGTTTTCACTATAGCACATAAAAAGGTTAAAGAGGGCTTCCCTGGTGGCGCAGTGGTTGACAGTCCGCCTGCTGATGCAGGGGACACGGGTTCGTGCCCCGGTCCAGGAGGATCCCACGTGCCGCGGAGTGGCTGGGCCCGTGAGCCATGGCCGCTGAGCCTGCATGTCCGGAGCCTGTGCTCCGCAATGGGAGAGGCCACAACGGTGAGAAGCCCGCGTACCACAAAAAAAAAAAAAAAAAAAAAAAGGTTAAAGAAATGTCTGTATGCTGGTTTTTGCTGATAAATTTTAATTCTAATTCCATTAAGTCAATTCTTAATCCTTTGCACTTAATGGAGAGTAGCAGAGGGGAAAATAAAAACAGATAAGAAAATTGATCTTCTAGACACTAAGAGAAAACAGTAAGTAGAAAGGTATATAAGAAAGAGAAATAGCTACTACATATAAGCAGTGAAGTTAGTCATTAAAGTGCCTAGATTAGTACTCAGCTGATAACTACTTAGGAATTATTAGGTTGACAGAAGAATCTTATAATTAGCAAACAGTTCCATGTTAAAGGTAGCTTTGTTTTTGTCTATCATTGCCAACACATTTATTTCTAATGAAAAATTTGCTCTTACTGAAGAATTAGATTTCACCACTTCTTTTCCTATTGAGAGATACATGACACAATAACATAAGACAATGTAGAGAATATTCTTACTGAGTGGAATAGCATGCAGTGTCCTATACGAGACTGGATGTCCTCAGGCCCAGCATTACAGGAGTCCTCTCGAAGAAGTTTCCAGGTTTGACACTGACAGTTGAAAGCAAACAATCCACTGAATTGTGGTTCACTGGCTCTGCTGTCGTCTACACTGCCATTACATGTCAAAATTCTACCACCAAAAGTGTAGATCATATGTTTTTCTGAGTCCATACACATCTATAGAACAAGGCAACAGATTGAATAGTTTTAGATTGTTCCTATCATATGTGCTAAAATGAAACCAATGTGTGCGGTTTTAGAATCTCAAAGAAAGTGAACATTGTCTTAATAACACCAAATACCATTCCTGATTATCATATGCACTTATTAAAATACTGCTCAACACCTGGCAGAGATTCAGGATGGATTTCTAAATACCTTTTCAGGTTTCCATTTTTTTTCCAGTGAGAATAAAATATGCTGGGTTAAGGAGCTTTATGCTTTCTTGAAGCTGCATAATTTTTACCAAATCAACCAATAATACATTAGGTACTGACTTATAACTAAGAGTAAACATTGACCATACTCTGTGGGCAAACAGTGATCACATCCTCCTTATAAAAACTCCCTTCTCTCCATTCTAGGCAAGCATTCTATTCCTCTTGCTACCATTTAATAAGAGAGAAGATATGTGAATAAGAGTGATGCAGCTTAATTCACCTCTCTGCATTTATTTTACAAAATTCTTCAAATTATGTTGTTACCAAATAGCAAAACAAACACAAGAAAAGACATTTGCAGCAATCAGTCTCCAGGTGAAACAAATTCTATTTCGAAGAATATGTAAGTTCAAGTTGGTAATTAGATGCTGAATACAAGTGGCATTTGTGTTTAAAGAATAAAGTGTATGTAAAACACCTATTTTTTTTATTGTTGTTGCTAAAGCACAAATACTAGCCATTATATGTTCAATTCTCTCCTCCCATCAATTTACTCCTGCTACTTATCTATTTTTTGTATTGTTTTAATAAGAAACTATTAAAATAATTGTAAAACTTATTTTAAAATTAATATTAAATATTAAAAAGAAAGGATTCTAGCGCCTCCTAATCTTTACCTACCACTAAAAAGATTCACTCACTTGCCATTTCCCAGGTTTCTGGCAGACTTCCATAAATTAAGATGAAAATCTACAATTCCTTAAGGGTGAAATCTTCAGGAACACGGTTGAAAAACTGAGATGTCAAAGCTTTTATGTCCCTGGCACTACAAAGAAAAGTGATCCTACCCTTTAATCTTAAATGATTATATCATGAAAAGCAATCCATACATTGTTGAGGGACACACATAATGTGAGTCTATTTACATTTTCGTAAGTTCACAGATTCATACTAATTTGGTTCAATCTCTGTTATCTAGCCCCTATGGTTCTACTTTATATGGCTACAAAGGGAGCTTCTCTTTCCTTTTGGGGATATTTAAATTTCATTTTGATATAGCTATTCTCATTTGTTATCAGGGGAGAGGCATAAACATCTTTATCTTAGTAGCTCTTTCTTGCATAGCGGACCAAACCAACCCAAAAAGGGACTAAGATACTGTTTAGCTTGATTCTTTCCCATATCTTAGAACAATGACACAAAACAGAAACAATTTTATTCCTTCAGCTTGGTTCTTCCCTGGATAAGATAGGTAGTTTCAATGAGGGTCAATTATCAAATAACAAGTTTTTTTTGTTTGTTTTTGGTTTTTTTTTGCGGGTACGCAGGCCTCTCACTGTTGTGGCCTTTCCCGTTGCAGAGCACAGGCTCCGGATGCAGGCCCAGCAGCCATGGCTCACGGGCCCAGCCACTCCGCTGCATGTGGGATCTTCCCGGACTGGGGCACGAACCCGTGTCCCCTGCATCGGCAGGCGGACTCTCAACCACTGCGCCACCAGGGAAGCCCCAAATAACAAGTTTTAATCACTCTAGGAAACTTTATGTTGTTCGTCAGTTTATGGTTTCCTTTTAATTTTTAATCTCTGAAAAATGTTTGAAAATCCAATGGCTTATTAAACTCTGTGAGATCATAGAATCTTTTCCCTCAAGACTTGAAGAAATCTTTTAAGCCTACTCTGTCAGGTTAGGTATATTTAATTTCTAAAAGCAAATAAACAGGACTTCCCTGGTGGCGCAGCAGTTAAGAATCCGCCTGCCAATGCAGGGGACACAGGTTCCAGCCCTGGTCCCAGAAGATCCCACATGCTGTGGAGCAACTAAGCCTGTGGGCCACAACTACAAAGCCTGCGCTCTAGAGCCCGCAAGCCACAACTACTGAAGCCTGCACGCCTAGAGCCCGTGCTCTGCAACAAGAGAAGCCACCACAATGAGACGCCCACGCACCGCAACAAAAGAGTAGCCCCGCTCACCGCAACTAGAAAAAGCCCGCGCAGCAACAAAGACGCAACACAGCCATAAATAAATAAGTAAATAATAAATAAAATAAAATAAAAGCAAATAAATAATGGATAGCCACTTATTCCCCACCCCATCCCCAACTGCTTTTTAATTTAAAACCGTCCATTTATTTTACTTTATCACATGAACACAAAATTGGCTAGGGTTAGGTTGGGTTCAAGATAATTTCCTCCTCACAAAATTTGAAGCTATTGCTATAAAGCCTTCTAAGTAGTATTGTCCAACCCACTACCCTACCTCCCGCCAACCTCCAAAAATGCCTCATGTTAATCTGATCCTTGCTTACCTACAAAGGTAACCAGCTTTCTCTGTAGCTTTTAGGATTTTCTCTTCTTCCTTGGTTCTGAAATTTCATTAAGGAAGTATCTAGGTAGGGATATTCTTTTTTCATTCATTCTGATCTGCACTTGGAATTTCTTTCATTCTGAAAATGATCTTTCTTCAGCTCTGAGAATTTTCTTCATTTTTACCTTGAGTGGTTTGTTCTTGTTGTTTTGGCCTCCATTCTCTTTCTAGAACTCCTATAAGGTGGATGTTGGAACTTCAGACCCTTTTCTCTGTTTAACTTTTCTCTCATAATCTTACCTCACTAATTTAGTAACCATTTAGAGGTATGTCCACACTGCTTTTTAATCTATTTACTGAGATTTTAATTTCACTATCAAATCTTTAATTTATAATTTTTCTATATATTTCCTTTTCATGAATGCAATAGCCTCCTGAATTGCTCTAAGAAATCACTTAAATTTACCTTAAAGACTTCTTCAATTTACACTACAAACTGTTCTTCTTTGTTGATTCTTAATCTGTTGAGTTCAGAACCTCATATCTCATAGTACTAATTATCTTCAAATATTTGGATTTGGGGGTTATTGTTTTAGTCTTCTTTGTATCTGAGAATCCCTATTCATCTGCCTGTTGCAATATACAGTAGTCTACCTCAAGGGACTGGGTAAGGCAAGATGAGACATGATGCTGTGAAAGGTTCTGCAGCAGCTCTCCAGTGCCTCTTAGGAGTATTGCTCTATCTGTCCAGCTCCAATGACCACACTGAACACTTGACCTATTAATAATTATCACAGTTCAATGCTACTCAGTCAACCTGGAAAATGTCCTGCTGTTTCATCTCCAACTGATCATCTACTGTTTGCCCCAACTACATGCTTTGAGACTCAAGTTGCTGCTATCTTAGGTTGTGGTTTCTTCTGGTTGGATCTGATCCTACCTGCTTTCTTTGAGAAATTCCCTCAAATATTTTAAATTCCCTAAGGGCATTCTTTCTTTTTCTGCACTATTACTAATATATTCTCTTGTCATTTCACAGGATGTTGGGCAGGAGGAGGGTAAAAATATATGTTCAGCCTGCCAATGATCCACAATGACCCAGGGAGAATGCCAACGAGCTGAGATCTCCAATACTGTGATTAAAGTTTCTCCTGTCATTTCTTGATTAGCTCACATTCCATTTTCTAGCAATTTCCTCAAAATGTGCTTATATTTGAAGGACAGTTTGGCTAGATATAAAACCCTTGGCTCACACTGTCTTTTCTTTGAATACCTTCTAGATATTGCTCTATTGTCTCTTGGCACTGAATACAGCTGTAGAGAAATCTGATATCAGTCTCATTTTACTTCTGGATCATTTCATCTAGTTGCCCACCAAATGGCCTCTTTATCTTTTAAATTCAGTGTTAGTAATATATATATCTTAGAGTTGAATGCCTAGGTCAATTTTCCCTGAATTTATCAATATCAGGTCCTCTTATACTATGTGGAATAGATTTCCTTCTTGAATTTTATGTATAAATATTTCTTCTGTTCCATTGTTTTGGTTTTCTTCTTTAATGTCTCCAATTATGTGTACGCTGGCTCTCTTTTGCCTGCCTTCTCTATCTGTAATTTTCTGGCTAGCCCTTATATCTATATTTGTTTTCTTTACCTGCCTTTCTTATTTCTTATGACCCTAACCTATTCTTCTTTATGCTCCTTGTAAACTAGTCTTCATTTTTTGAAGTGTTACTATATTTTTCTTCAATTTCTTTCTTGAGATTTACCAGGTCCAGCAGATTTACACCTGCTCCTATTATTTGGCCATCTCATCTGCATTCTTGAATGTATGCCTTGTAGTTTTCTTCAGAGTTTCAAGCTTCATTAAGTCAATTAATTCATGTTAGAATATTGGAATATAATTTTCATCTGCTGTTGCATGAAAGAAAGTTTTTGCTGTTCTTTTTCCTTTTATTGTTTTTCTTTAGAGTACTTCTCTAAAGATTTGGTGTTTACTGCTTTTTAGTTTTTCATATTTAAAATGAGCTGAATTCCCCTGGACCAGATAATACAAGGTCCCTATGGAAGTGTGACATTCTTGCTCAAGGACTTCCTCCTCTATTGCTACTGAACTGAATGGCTTCTTCAAAATATGGCGCTTCTGTGAAGCCATCTTCTCTAACTATGAACCTCATCTGGTTTAGGGGGCTTCTATCTCGAGCCTTGAGCTCCCCCAGTTCCTTCAACGGACATGCATAAAGAGCCACTGTCCCCACTTGTCATAGTGTTTCCTTTGCTTTTGGAAGATGGTGCTTTCTGATATCTACCACTTATGGGCCTTGCTAGGCACTTTCCACATGGTATTTAACTGACTCCCCCAGTGGCTGCACTGGGTTCAATTTCTGCTCTGCTCATGACACTTCCATTACGATGTACTTCTGCTAAGCTTCCTCTACATTCCCAGTTCTCCCCATTACATTGCTGTGAGTTTCAATACAGGTTCTGGGTATTCCAGTTGTTTTTGGCTAAACTTACAAGGAATTGGGAGCTGTGGGTTTTCTTTGGCTTCTGGTTTTGCTGAATATGTGACTTGTGTTTTTTTAAAATCTTTTTGTTTGGTTCTCATTGTTCCTGAAAGATCACACAAAGCAACAACATGGAAAGCTTCAGAACTAAGCTGCCACTGTGTCCTTAGGAAATACAAATGTCTTTGAATTTTAAGTTTTTTAATATGTTAAAATTCAAAATGGCAAAGTAACTTTTAACCATATCTTCAGGCCTCTAACTTTCTCACGTTCCTCTCAAATTTGAATGTTAAGTGTCAAATCTTAAAGTGTCACAAACAACTCCAAGTAATTTTTGGAGTAGGTTCCAACTTATAACTTTATTTTCATGAAACAGAACAGAAAATGGAGGCTTATACATTGTGTTAATTGTTCAAGGTCACAGAAGCAGGTGGTGGCTGAATTAGCACTGAAATCCTGGCTTCTTCACCCCTAGTGTTCTGTTAATAACAACTAATGAGTTGAAAACCAAGCATTATTGAACCTAGGCTTCAGGGAACATTCTGTTTTACCAAAGTCAAGAGAAACAAAGGCCCCCACACAAGGACAGCATATGTGCTATACTCAGACTACCCCTAAATTATTCTTTTTTTCAACCTGTAAAAACATAAGCCTCTTTTGGAAAAGAAATTTGTAACCAGTTGGAGGCAAGAAAATGAACTGTTTCCCTAACAACGTTATCTGCTGATGTTCTGTTTTTAAAAGATCAGAAGAAGTTTAACTTTTTTGGGAGTTCTTATTTTCCACATGAACAACACTGAGGATGTCAGCAGAGAAGTGCAAAGCTTTACAGAGCTCGGTTACGTGCAGCCAGCACAAGTTCCAAATTCAATCTAGGGAGTACTCTGAAGACTAATGTTTTTGATTTTCCACCCACCACGTACTCAATAGACATATAAGCCACTCCTCTTTTCCTTACCATTCTATTAAAACTACTTGTTAGTATAAATATGGCAGGAGGAAAGTTTTAAAGCAAAGAATTAACAAAAACTGGTAAAGAAACAATAAATAAAGACTTGGGTTTTAATGCCTAGATATTAAGCATAAGCTAGATTCTGTCATAAATTCTAGCACCACTCCCCATTTCTCAAGTAATACATAATGCTTTGTTCATCAATAGTGTTACAGATTTTTTAAAAGTCTTTTTCGTCCCCATACTCCAAAAACCTTTGGATATGGGTTAAGCCAAGCAAAACTGCCTACAGAATTCAAAGTGGCTACTCTTTTGTTTGAGGTAGTACTGACCTGTACTGAACTGATATAAAATAAGTTTTCAAAGACAGATAACAACGATAATGGGGATGATGATATGACAGCTACATACATATTCATATTTAAATGGTTTAAGAGATTGCTGTATAAAGTCTTCTTGTCTACAACATCATTCTATGACTTCTATTGGTGCTGAATTTAAACTTCATCTAGTACACGCCAAATTCTTATCTGTTTTATACTGAGTTTGTGATTATATACAAAAGTAAATATATTTCACTCGCATTGGAAGAAAAACTCTACATTTCCAATTCTTGAACTCATTATAAAATAATTTAAAATTTTCCAGGAATGTAGAATAAAAAGTTTTAAAAGGGCAAGTTGTTATTGGTATGATTTATGAATATCATAAAACTAAATCTGTTTTTCCTAATATGTATTGCTCCATCTACTCTCTATAAATTTTTTATAAATTAACAACTGTGTTTTGAGATCTTAGTATTTTATTCTGCACCAAACAAGAGAAAATAACTTTTAAAGAATAACTTTATATCTACTGAAACAGTAATTCTTTTTATTATCTGTCATAGGTATTTGTAGTAGAAACCACCAATAGAAAACTCAGCATAACATGTGAAATAAACTCTAAGAGCAACAGTCACTGAGCACTAATTAATTCCACCATACAGTTATCTGTGCACCAAACCTGATGATCAAACACCAGTTTCGGTCCTCCATCAGCAGCAGTATCCTCACTGAGTAACATCCATGTGTTTGTGTCAATGTCATAACGATAGAAATCACTTTTCAGAGATTTGCTGTTCCTCACAGAGGAATCCAAATAACGCCCCAGTGTGTAGATTTGCCTTCGTTGAATGTCAATGCACATTTTATGACATGATCTAGCACTAGGACCATTCTGTGGAGAGCAAAAAAAAGAATGAAAAGAAAAAAATTCAAAGAATAAATAACAGAAGACAAAATTAAATGCCCTATTTTGTTTACTTTCACGAAAAGGTTTGCTCAGAATCTTGTATCAAGTCCAACTAATATATATGTCCAATACTAGACTTAAATCTCTAGGGGAAAATAAAAGAAGCAGTAGGAGACACAAATCTTACTTAGAAAAGCTTAAACTCTACCAGGAAAGATGAGATGAACTATTCTCTATTCTATGGCACTCTGTTTATAACACTTATATGGCTTTTACTATATACTCCATTACATTTTAGTCATTTGTGTATAGACCTTAATTCTTTTGTACATGTCAATCTACTTAAAGACACATTTGGTTTTTCAAAATATTTTTGTATGCTTCATCAGAATCTAGCATAAAACAGGCACTACAAGAATATTTAGAATTTCATAATTGGTAGGAACCTTAATCAAAGTGTAGTTTAATGATCTCCTTTTAAAGATGAGGAGATATAAGCTCAAAGAGGAATGATATCATCCTGAAAGCTAGTAAACTAGTGACAGAAGCAGAATGAGAATCCAAGTCTTGACTTCTTCATCCAGCCTTTACATTATATAAAATTGACTCTCCTGACAATAAATGACTCAGCTGCATTAAACAACTAGGGAACAAAATGAAGAACAATATATTATCAATAAAAATTAATTAGTTGAGATCACTTGTATCACAGGACAGAATAAAAGGTAAAAAAAAGAAAACAAACAACAAAAAACTGTAGTATAAGGCCCAAAAAAGGAGTTCATGAAAAAATAAAAAAAAGGAACTTCAATTGGGTAGGACTGGATTATCTGAAAGAGGGAAAAGGAAAGTGAACTAATATTTGTTAAATATCTACTAAATTCTGTCTATATTATTACTATGTATGTGTGTATATATTTCATTTATCCTTGTAACAACTCCATAAAGAAATAATACCACCATTTCACAAAGTCTAAGTAATCTGTCTATAGTCACAAAACTAAGATAGAGAATCTAAGCCCCAGTGTAACCAAGCCAAACACTGTGTTCTTTCCACTCTTCCAGATTGTTTTCTCCCGAAGATAAGAGAAACAAAAGCAAAAATACACTAAATACAACATGTGGGGTTATGACTGAGATAAAGAATTCCTGCCACAGAAATAACAGAGTTGAAGTATAAGGTAGAAACAGAAAGCCTGTGAATGACTGACAGGAGAACTGAATGTAATCTTGCAAGCATTAAAAATTATTATAGGTTTCTAGAGAAGGATATAAAATAAAAAAGCAGTATTATAGGAAGAGTAATCCAGCATTATTTAGATTAAATGAAGGAATAAAAATATTAGACAGGAAGAACAGTTTGACATTAGTGTTATTAATCCAGATATTAAGTTGATTTAAATCTGCAATTTAGTGTTCACACTAATTACTATTTTAAAAATTATTTTTAGAGATTTTTGTGAAGGGAAATCTTCAGCAGATAAGGTAGAAATGTTACTTAAAGAATTTCCGCTCCAGCTGCCATCTTGCATCCCTGTGTGTGTGCTCCTAACCTCAGCTGGTCTGCCCGAGAACCCCTAAGTGCCAACCCTAGTCCCCTACAAGGCCACATTTCCACTGCAACAAGATGAAAGAAACTATCATGAACCAGGAGAAACCTCGCCAAACTGCAGGCACAAATGCACAGTGGTGGGAAAGGAACTGCTTGCAGAAAGAAGGTGGTTCATAGAACAGCCACAGCAGACGACAAAAAACTTCAGTTCTCCTTAAAGAAGTTACAGGTAAACAATATCTCTGGTATTGAAGAAGTGAATATGTTCACAAACGAAGAGACAGTCATCCACTTTAACAACCCTAAAGTTCAGGCATCTCTGGGAGCAAACATTTTCACCATTACAGGCCATGCTGAGACAAAGCAGCTGACAGAAATGCTACCCAGCACCTTAAACCACCTTGGTGCAGACAGTCCGACCAGTTTAAGGAGACTGGCTGAAGCTCTGCCCAAATAACCTGTGGATGGAAAAGCACCACTTGCCACTGGAGAGGATGACGATGATGAAGTTCCAGATCTTGTGGAGAATTTTGATGAGGCTTCCAAGAATGAAGCAAACTGAACTGAGTTAACTTCTGAAGAAGATAAATCTTGAAGAAGTTACTGGGAGCTGCTATTTTATATGACTGCTTTTTAAAATTTTGTTTATGGATCTGATAAAATCTAGATCTCTAATATTTTTAAGCCCAAGCCCCCGGACACTGTGGCTCTTTTCGGTTTTTGCTTATATACAATTCATTCTTTGCAGCTAATTAAGCTGAAGAAGCCTGGGAATAAAGCTTAAAAAAGGTTAATAAAGTTCTTTGCTTAGTAAAAGAAAGAAAGAAAGAAAGAATTTCCTCTGTAATTAAATAATCTGAAAAACAAGTATCAGGTAAGATATAATGTATCGATGCCATATTTCCTAGAGTGTAAAATCTGAAGTTTTAATAGGAGAATAACAGAATTTCTTGCTTTGGCTTAATTAGCACAAGTGCTATTAAAATGATGAGCAAATTACTTCCTAACTAAGGAGAAAAAAGGGAATAAAGATAAGGCTAGAAACCAAGAGACTACAGAACAGACAAAAAAATAGAGAAAATTAATAAAGTTTTTTTTTGAAACATTCATAGAATTATAAACCACTAGCAAGACTAATTTTTTTTTAAAGGGAGAAAATACAAATTGCCAGTATCAGAAATGAAAGCAATACTATCAATAGAAATTAAAAACAAAATAAGGAACTATCATCGAAAAACATAGTAAAATTTGACCATGTAGATAAAATGGACATATTCCTTGGAAAAAATATAACTTATTAAAATTGACACAAGATGAAAGAGAAAATCTGAAAACTTGGATTCATAATTTTAAATCTTTCCACAAAGAGAAGGCCAGCCACAGATGCCTACACTCGTAAAATTTATCAAATACTTAAGGAAAAAATAGTATCAATTTTACACAAAATTTTTCAGAAAACAGAGGAAGAAAAAGACCTCCTTTTTTAAAACTTGTATTCTATTCATTCCTAACTTACATATTTTATGAGGACAACATAACACTGAAACCAAATAACAATATTACAAAGGAGGAAGAGCAGAAGTAACATACAGGTAGCTAGTATATCTCATGAATACAGAAATAAAACTAATCTTTAACAAGACATCAAATAGAATACAGCAATATATAAGAATAATATTTCATAACTACAAGGGTTTTATTTCACAAATGCAAAGTCAATTTTACATTTGAAAATCAATCAAGGTAATTTTCCACATTGAAAGTGTAAAGGGGGAATTCCCTGGTGGTCCAGTAGTTAGGACTCTGTGCTTTCACTGCTGGGGCCTGGGTTCAATCCCTGGTCAGGGAACTAAGATCCTGCAAGCCGTGTGGCGTGGCCAAAAAAAAAAAAGTAAAAGAATAAAGGGGAAAAATACACAATCTTATCAATAAATATATTGTAGAACAAGCACTTGATAAACCCAACAAATATGCATCAGGAAGAACTCACAGCAAACTAGGAATAGAAATGAACTTCCTCAATCTGATAAAGAATGTATGAAAATCCTAAGTCTAATTTTCCCTTTAATGGTGAAATACAGAATGCTTTCCTGCTAAGACGTGAAACAAAATAAGGATGTCTATTCTCATCTCTTCTATTTAATACTGTACTGGAAGTCCAAATCAGTGCAATAAGGCATTAAAAAATAAAATTAAAAGTTATGACAGAAAAAGAGAGTGGAAAGAAGTTAAAATTGTCTCTATTCAGAGATGACAGGACTATTTGTTTAAAACATCCTAAGAAATCAACATATAACAGAAGAGAAACCGTTAGAAATAATAAATGGACTTAGAAAAGTGACATGATACAAACAAGTTGAAAATTAAAAATGTTTAAGTTTCATTTACAGTAGCATGGAAAAACAAAATACACTGGGATCCATTTAATAAAAATAAAAAGGACCTCTAATCTGCAAACTCCGAGTGCTGGGAGGTAATGAATAAGACTGAAATAAATGGAAATTTAACCCTGTTCATGGATTAGAAGGCTCAGTATCATTAAGACATCAATTATCTCCAAATTGATTTATAGACTGAATACATTTCCAATCATAAGTCCAACAGTTTTAGAAACTGACAATATGATTCTAAAATTTATATGAAGATGTAAAGGACCTAGAAGAGTCAAAATAATTTTTAAAAAGAAGAACGAAAGTGTCTTACATTACTTGACCTGAAGGAGTGTCATACTGGAATATGAATAGACCAAAAGATCATGGAGCAGATTAGAGTGTCCAAAGAGAGACATATACTTATATGCTCAATTGATTTTTGAGAAAGGTGCCAAAGCAGTTCAACAGGGAAAGAAGACAGGGAGCGACCAGAACTCTCATAAATTTCTGGAAGGAATATAAAATAGTTCAACCACTTTGGGAAAAGCTTTAACAGTTTCATCAATGGATGCTAGAAGGGCAAAAGTTTGATGAGTAACAGAATATTTTCATAGTCTCAAAATGTCTCCTCACAAATTACTTATTAATATGGAGTGGGAAATCTGGTGAGCACCCTTCTTAACCAAGTGATCAAAGCTAACATCAGACAAACTGACATGATGTGCCTGTCTCCTGACAGGACATAACTTAGGAGGACCCGGTGTCCTCCACATGGCATTCCTGCTAAAAATGCTTAACCTATATCCTATCCTGGGGAAACATCAGACAGATCAAATTGAAGGATAGTCTACAAAACAATTGCCCTGTATTCTTCAAAAATGCCAAGGTCAAGAAAGACAAAGAGAAGTCAAGGAACTGTTCCAGACTAAAGGACACTAAAGAAACATGACACTGAAATGTACTGCATGATCATGAATTGAGTCCTGGGTCAGGGATAGAGGTTGGGGGTAACAGTAAGATACCTATAAAGGACATTACTAAGGCATTATTTGGGTAACTGTTTATATGTGAAAAGGGAATGTGGATTAAAGCAGCAGTTCTCAGTGCAGTCTGGGGTCTTTAGGGAATCTACAAAGTTATTTTCATAACAATACTAAGATAAAAAAATGTGTCTTTTCACTCTTACTCTCTTATAAGTGTATGTGATATTTTCCAGAGGCTACATGACTTTTGATATAACAACAGACTGAATGCAGAAGCAGATATGAATCTTGCTGCCTTCTATTAGGTCACAATTAAAGAAATTTAGAAAACTATAAAACAGTGCTACTTGATATATGATGGTTGTCTCAAGGAAAAGCATTTTATGCAATTGTTTGAGCTGCAAGCTGACGTAGCTGCTTTTTCCAGGAAACATGATATTTACTCAAAAGAAAACTAACAATCCAAGTATGGTTATTCAGACATTTTCTGAAAAATAAATGAAGTAAGTATGTTATCCTTGAAGAAAAACAACTGATAAAATTTGTTGCCAATAATAAAATGCACATTTTTAAGCAAATTTAGAATTTTAGAAAACTTCTACCTGACACTGCGATCTTGACACCTTCCCAACACTTAAAAGATGTTTCTAATGAGAGTGATCATATGTGGTTTGGGGGATATTGTATAATAATATGTCAACATTTGAAGACCTGCATAACTCAGGGAACCAATATTTTTCAGGTGACCAACACACTGAGCAAAAAAAACAAGCATGGGTAAAAGATCCATTCAAAGAGCAACACAGATCAGTGGATTTTAATGTAACAGAATTACAAAACATTAGCTGATATGGTTTCAGAGACTACAGTGCAATTATTTTTAAGAAGCAAACAACAACTTGTCAATTTGGGGTATAAGATCAAAAAAGTACATGTGCTATTATATAAAAAGGCTACTATTAAAATAATAGTTTCCTTTCCAAGGATGTATCAATGTGAGGTCCAATCTTCTTCATATATCTCACATAAAACAACATGTTGCAAAAGATTAAATGCAAAAGCACATATGAGAATCTAGCTGTCTTCCACTAAGCTAGATATTAAAGAGATTTATAAAAATGCAAAATTAAAAATACAATTTGTCTTGAACTGATAAAAACTTACATGCATATCTACATGAACATTTAAAATAATTATTCTAAAAACTGAGCCATTCTATTATCTTTCAATCTACTACATGAGCTATTAGATACATTATTTAGTCTAAGTAAATTAAAGTGAATTAAATTAATTTTGGTTTTTCTGTGTGATTCAATATTTTTATAGATTATACTCCATTTAAAGTGAGTATCAAATAACGGTTGTATTTCCCTGTGCTGTACAATATATCCTTGTTGCTTAATTATTTTATACATAGTAATTTTGCTTTTTAATTGCATATCATACTTTTAAAACATATGCACTGGGGTATCATCAAACAATAAAACTTGTACTTACTGGTGTAAAAAACAAAATGAAACTCTGTTCAATTTTGGAAGGAATGAGCATTTTGCTGGAGCCATATATCCTCATTCACTTCACTGCTGGATCAACAAAAGATTTTTAGGTGTTTAAATGAAGAAAGTAGTAATAAATTATAATAAATCTGAATTCCAGTACTGGATCACCACTTTACTTATCTCTATGGACTTCAAAATAACAGAAAAAAAGTATTCTCATCAAAATAATTTCTGTATGTTCCCAGTACTAGTTTTAAATAATTATTAATTGCATTCTAAATATAACTTAGAATATTACATTAACATTACTTTTGAGGACCCCGGTAATCCATCGCCCCTTCCTGCCAAAACAGCCACTCTCCTGAATTTTGTATTTGTCATTCCTTTGCTTTTCTCCAGCATTAATTTTTTATTTAACTTATCTGAACTATTTACTCACTAAGGAGTAAGCATATGATCCACGCCTTAAGGAATTCAGAGTCTCCATAGGGAAACAGAAATGTAAACCAATCATTATAGTAACCCATTCAAGGAATGTAAGGGGTTAAGTGTTCACACCTAAGAAAGCTTCTAATTCTGGTTAGGGAAGTCAAGAAAGGCTTCAGAGGAACTGAAGTCTGAACTGTGTTTTAAAGAGTAAGTAGGCATACACTACATAAAAGCTGGGTGCACGGGAGGAGCAGCCTCTGTTAATTCCAAACTGGGAAAACACTATTACAAAGAACACAGGTGAGAACGTTGAATAATTCTAGCAACTATAAGTATAGCTAGCACATAAAGTCAAAAAATGAGGCTAGAAAAGTAGATGGGGACCAAATTATGATGAGAAATTTGAAGTTTTTACTCTAATCAAAAGGAACTAAGGTAGATAAACTTCATTATTGTTGTTGCTGTTATTACTCACACTTCCCTGTATCTATGCCCTTGGATAGTGCTGCCCATCACCCAATAACTGTGGATTTGGTCACATGACTTCTTTTGGGAAAATGGGACAATAATATATCTAATTGAGCGCTCATGTCTACTTCATCCTCCTTGCAGCCCTGCCCCTACACGAGAACAAGACTCATGCTAGCCAACAGGAAGGTGAGTGGCTATGTAGAACAGAGCCAAGTAGTCTCGGAAGCTAATCTAGACTAGCTGACAGTCAGCTGACTCCCAGCACATGAGTGAGCCCAACCAATCTACAGACTTGTGAACAAAATAACTGCTTATTACTATATGCCACTAAAGTTTTGTGGGTGCTTGTAATGTAATATATGGAATGCAGTAGATAACAGAAACAGGGACTGAAGCTAACCATAGGGTTTAAGCAGAGGTGTCACATGGCCAAATGTTTTTTTTTTTTTAAAGACTGTGCTAATGAATGGACAATAGACCTGGAGATCAACAATGGAAGCAAAAACGTTTAAGAAAGAAACCACAAAGTTGGAATTAGTGCCAAAAGGAATAGAGAGGAAGAAACATCTGTAACGCAATACTGAGTGCTAGAACCGGTGGAACTTTAGGCCCTAATTAGATACCCTCAATGAAGAAGGGGGAGGATTTCAGGATGAACTGTAGGCTTCTTGCAAGAATAATTACAAATACAACTAACTAAGATTTAAAATAGTTTAAGAGAAATCAGATATGTATTCTTTTAAGATCTGTCTTTATTTTTGTTGAGGATAAAAATAATCATTTCAGAAAATGGTACTTTAATATTGAAAAGGCAAAGTCCATTTTCACAGGGATAATAAATAGAAATCAGAATTTTAAGGTCTCTTTAAAAAGATAAAAACTACCCAAATGATTAACAAAGGAACACACCAAGTAAACAAGAATCTAATTTCCTAAGATTAAAGACATAGCACCAGATTTTAAAAAAATGGTCTTCCTACATTAAAATCAGTGGTTTTGAATTAGGTCTTTTCCTCCCCTTTTCATTTGCTGCTACTACTGTTTTGTTTTAGTTTATTTTTCACCTTGTAATCTGAAATTGCTTAGAGGGAAAAGTACAATAAAAAATTCTATAATGATTAAAAAAATAATATATGAATATGTGCTTTATATCAGGGTATAATTAATTATGCACTTATATAATTCAAAAAATTAAATAAAAGAATGCCGTAAATCCAAGACATCCTATTCACTATGGAAAAGCTTTATGTATATATGTATCAATAGACAGACTCACACATGAATACATACATACAAGTTTAGTTAAAAATAAAATATACATCATTTGTGAAAACTGATAAGATAGTCAAATAGTGAGGGGCCAAAATAGTAAGATAGTGAGGAACCAAAAGCACATTTTTCCAGAGGAAATAAAAATAAGATAAATGTTCAAAATAAGAGTAGAGGTGACAAGAACATAAGAAAAATAATAGTTACACAGTTACATTTTAACTAAAGTGGTTAAAAACTAAATTACATTAGATACCCATTTCTATTTATCTCTATAAAATAGATTTGTTCATGTACCAATAGTTGAAGAACCAGGTATAGAAGCTGGAATGCAAGAATACTTAAACCAAACTTGTCACCACAAATTCTTCTGCTATCACTGCTGATAGACATTTACAAAGAATACAAATCATTCAGAAAAAGAAGTGTACGACCACACCCCTATCGTAATACAGATGGATGAAAAGTCTGAGAACTTGCCTCTTTCTCAGTGTCTCTAGAGATACATGTCCATTGGTTCTCTTTCACACTGTACGCCCAGAAGTCAGCAAGATCTTGTGTTCCATCCCAGCCACCAAACAAATAAACAGTCTCTGTGAAAATTAGAAAAATATGTGCAAAAAAAATAAACTTAAGAACAAAATTTAAGTATAGGCACCCAGATCAAGCCATTGCTTCTAAGATCATTTAAGAAGGTACATCTAAGTAAACTTAAAAATGAGATTTTTAAACTGGTTAACATTCCAAAATAAATACTAGTATTTCCTAAATATAGGCATACGGAAGGGCTGCTGCAGAACCACTATCTTGAGAGATTTATAAATACAAAGGTAACTAGGAGGCATCCCCTAAGATTCAGATTCCATAGGTCCTCAGTGGGTAAAAAGAGTCAGTACTTTTTAAAGTGTCCAGGGGGAATCCTGATGTGCAGCCAGTTTAGGAGTTTCTGTGTCAGGCCACAAAAAATTTACATTTACCAGCTTCTTAACAAAGCAGCTTCAGATAGTTAAAAAAAAAAAGGGGGGGGGCTTCCCTGGTGGCAAGTGGTTGAGAGACCGCCTGCCAATGCAGGGGACACGGGTTCGTGCCCCGGTCTGGGAAGATCCCACATGCTGCGGAGCGGCTAGGCCCATGAGCCTGCGTGTCCGGAGCCTGTGCTCCGCAGCGGGAGAGGCCACAACAATGAGAGGCCCGCGTACCGCAAAAAAAAAAAAAAAAAAAAAAAAAGGGAAAAGAAAAAAAAGAAATCCCAAAGAAATATACAGTGCAAAATATAATATAAAGCTATCTAGCTACTTCTGAAAAAACTTCACATTAAAACTGTTTTCTATTACAATACAAAAAACAATGGTTAAAACTAGCTGTGAGTTAAAGTTAGGTATCTTCAGAATAAAGTGATGCATAGCCTTGATATTCCCATGGAAACTGGGGGAAATTTTTCTAAATATATTATGGTAGATTTAACTCCTCAGAAATCAACTTTTAAGTCATTCCAGGTATCTTGAGAATTTGGTTTCTTCTAATTCTGAAATGTCTATTATACCTATGGACTTTATCATGTGATAAAACATTTGCTCCGTGACCAGTGAAAATTTTTACCTTTCTTTATAAAATAATAGTGCCTTTCCTTTCTTCAAATATTTCTTCACTTTGTAAATATCTTATGTCTACTTGTTATAATGCCTACCATTTTTTAAGTTACATATAATACATTACAGGAAAACTATAAAGCCATCTACTCTCTGACATGCCCTAGGCCAATATATGCGGAGACTGTCATCTAAATTACGTCCCATCATGAAGGGTTGAAATGCACCTGGAAATATTGTAACACTACTTAAGAAAATTCTTGCCATTCATAGAGATGTCTTATAAGAGATTTTTGTCATATTTTCATATAATTTCAAACTCTAAGTGAATTTTCTAAGTGAAAGAACCTAGGGGAAATTAAAACAATGCTTCTGGATAAGAACAGACCACTGGAACAGTTCTAGTGCTAACTGGGTAAACAGGTATAGGTCACTTAACTTGCCTGGGTCCTGATTTTTTCATTTACAAACTCTCAGTGTGGTGGTAAAGTTCTTCATATATAAGTTACATGAAAACATTCTGAAGGGTGTCAAGCATGAACAGCATTTCTACCTTTAAAACATGCACATATACACAAAATACTTTGTAGATACTAAATACCACTGATGCAATAAAAACAGTATTATTGTATGTTTCCATGTCTAACCCAGTACCTAGAACACTTCTGGCTCTATATAAATGTGAAATAATGGAAACTATTAGAAAACTGCCATCTCTCAGAAGTATAAAACAATCCATTATCATTAGTTAAGTAACATTCTGTTTCCCAAATGGCACACAGTAATGCCCAGATACTGAGAATTCTACAGGAAAAAAATTAAAGAATTTTCATCTGACTTAAAAATTATTTGCCAAGGCCTCACTATAAATGCAATTAACCCCATTAAATTCTGAAGCCTGGAGAGGGAGGGAGTATATAACTAAAATAGCAATAGCAATTGACCTTTTGTTTTACAGTGTTTCTGGGCACCCTTTGGATAAGGTTACCCTGGTTCACTAACTTTAATAACCCTTCCTCTTGGGATCTGGGTTCTCAATGTTCTTTCTGAAAAGCAGGTCTCTTTGTACGCATAAATTCTCACAGCAAAGAAAACCCACATTTCCACAACAGCCTCATTGATAGCTGAGCAAAATAAAATCTGGCACAGAGCAAGCATCCCAATGGAATTAATCCAAGATGTCATTCTTGTTCGTGAATGCTCTGTGGTCCCAGTTAAAGTTTAATAGTAAAACTGAATGAATCAGATGGTAACAGGACCTTTTGACATACCTGAATGAAATGTATAACAAAATTTTAATTAAATCATTTAAGTTAAATCATTCAGGAATGAAATATTATCCAAACACCAGCAAAAATATTACTTAATGCATAAAGGATATCAAAAACTTTTAAAGATTATAGAAATAATCAGACAAAACTGTAGTGAGAAGAAAGTAGAAAAAAGAAAATGCTATTATTTGCAACATGGCAGTAGCTTGGTTTACGATGTCCACTCTCATGCTTATAGGTTATATAACAATTCAGGCACATCCCTAGGGCAGTATAATCCTCCTCATGCAGCAGCCCTTTCTCTGTATTTTTTCTTAAAGGAGCACAGGCTACAGAGGCTATTTCTCTCAGACTCACTGAAATGTTCACTCAACATTTTTTGAGTACTAATCTGAATTGGCAAGGCACTTTAGAGAATAAAAATAAAGAAGACATCATCCCTACCCTCAACGAGCTTACAATTTAGTGAAGAATATAAAACAAGTACATTAATCACCACAATGCAATGTAGACTAAGTGCCGTAAGAAAGGTAAAAAAGCACCACGGGAGTTCAAAAAAGGGAAGAGAATATACCAGATTGAGGAGACTCAGGAAGATTTCATGGTGACAGTGGTATCTGACCTATGCATCAGAAAGTGGCTTTGCTGGTAGAATGAAGGAAAGAGAAGAGGACTTTTCAAGCAGGGTGAAAAGTAAAACAAGGGTACAGAGACAGAAAAACACACAAAAAGTGTTTTAAAAGACACAGAATCTAAAGTCAGGCAGATCTTGGATGGAACTGCAGCTCTATCACCACAGCTGTGTGACCAACACCTAATTCCCTAACCACTGGTTTCCTCAGCTCTAAAATGGCACAGAGTACCTATCTCCTAAAGCCACCATGAGAATTAAATAATGCATGCACAGTGGTGCAAACTGTGTGGTGAATAAACGCACTGTTCATTTTAAAAGAACAAAAAAAAGTAGTGGAGTGGAGGTAAGTTAAAAAGACAGGTAGTGGCCACATCATGAAATGGGTTAAATGACAATATAAAGGTTTTGAACTCGACTCCACAGACAGTACAGTATTAAATAGCAACAGAAGATTTTAAGCAGAGATGTGACATGGTCAGATCTGAACTTGCAGCATATAGGACTTACTGAAAAGGAGGAGCCAGGGAAACAGAAGGATCAGAAATAAAGTGACCAATAATAGCCTGTGTTCAAGATATCAAACCAATTTCATTTTCAGAGACTAAATGAATCAATCACCAATCAATCAATCAGTTATTACTCAGGCCACAAAAGCTAAAATGCAACCAGTCTTTTTTACAGGTCTTTTTTCGTATCAGTACTAAATAACCCCTACAACTACTTACTACCAATAGTACTAATCTATAAATCTTATATACACTAAGAAAAAGGTAGAAATGTTAACACATCAGTATCTTCACACCATTTTGCACAAAGAAGCAGGCTTTTTATTTTATGAGCCCAACTGCAATATCTGTCCTCCTCTGATTCTTAGGGGTAAATCAGACTATGCTGATTGCATAATCCTCCACAAGATGGCACACTATTTTCGTAATTAAATCCATCTTTCCACTTTGAAATAGTATAGAATGCATATACTATGCACTGACATAACATGGGCCCAACCTTAGATAAAATTCAAGTGTCAAAAAGAAGAGGTAGGTGGAGGGTTACTAGGCTTGTAAAAGGGGTTAGCTTAATTCCTAGTTTAATGTAGACACTAAGAGAAAAACAAATGAAATTTTAAAAAAAACTTTTAAGAAACACAAATTTATATTCAAAATAAAAATGAACCCTGTCAGGACATTTAGTTTAAGAGTTTAATCCTTCTGAAAGTGTAGTTAATAGGACATTAGATTGACATTAGAATTTTTGAAGGGAAGAATAAGTTAGAAGGGGAAAGATATTTTATATACTCTTTAACCTTACCTTCTTTAGCCATTCCCCTGAACTCTCAAAACCCAGGAGATTATCAACTGGATTCATCTGTCTCTCTTTATAAAAAGAGCTATATTTCTTTCTTTTTTTTTTTAATTGGTGAATTTTTGTTTAGCCTTTTTTTTTTTTTTTTAGTTAATTTATTTATTTTTGGCTGCGTTGGGTCTTTGTTGCTGCGCGCGGGCTTTCTCTAGTTGCCCTGAGCGGGGACTACTCTTCCTTGCAGCGCACGTGCTTCTCATCGCCGTGGCTTCTCTTGTTGCGGAGCACGGGCTCTAGGCGTGAGGCACGCAGGCTCAGTAGTTGTGGCTCATGGGCTCTAGAGCGCAGGCTCAGTAGTTGTAGCACACGGGCTTAGTTGCTCCGTGGCATGTGCGATCTTCCTGGACCAGGGCTCGAACCTGTGTCCCCTGTATTGGCAGGCGTATTCTTAACTACTGTGCCACCAGGGAAGTCCCGAGAGCTATATTTCTTACATAAGGCTATGATTACAAAACTAGAGACTGATCTTTTGGGTGAATTCAACATATGGTTGTAATTTCCCTGCTAAAAGGTTATATTTTCTGCCTATGACAATATACTTTGTATTAGGGCTATATTTGAGAATTCCTTTCTGATAACTGTGTGAAAGAAAAAAATTCGTGTCATACGTAGCTACAGAAATACAACCATATGAATATATTTGTATTTAAAAACTAAAACCCATGTTTACCTACTTTCTTCAATAGCTTCTTTAAAGAATATCAAGAAAAACCATTATGTGGCATTAAAAAAAAAAAAGA